CAGGCTGGAGTGCAGTGGTATTATCTCAGCCTACTGCAACCTCCACCACCCAGGCTCAAGTGATGTTCCTGCCTCAGCCTCCTGGGTAACTGGGACTACAGGTGCATGCCACCACGCCTCATTTTTTTTTTAATTAAAAAAAGTTATTTTATAGAGATGAGGTCTCAGCATGTTTCCCAGTCTGGTCTTGAACTTGTGAGCTCATGCAATCCTCCTGCCTTTCCCTCCCAAAGTGTTGGGATTATAGTTGTGAGCCACTGTACCCAGCCCCTGACTGCATGCTCTTCTTACCTTCCTTCCTGGCTATTTTAAAAGTTTCCTAACCAGTCTATCTCTGTACTGCCTTGGATTCAGTATTTATGCTAAGGACCACAATAATGAATGGGGGAGAATTACATTTTGATTTTCACAAACCTCTCATTGAAAATTTGCATTTCTTTTGAGTAGAAACATTGGCACAAGTCCCAGTAGTACTGGCAGGACCTGTGACTTTGCCACCAACAAGATCACAGATATTTTCATACTATATTATAGCCACTGCATATGTTGAAATATTATTTATAGTCACTATTACTTTAAAATTGTGGTCATTATTAGAGCTAGATCATGTTATTTAATGCTTTATCAAGAACCACAGATATTCCTACATAACACATTGTTAACATTTTGATAGGTATATTTTAATATAGTGGATTTCCTTTGTAATTTTATTTGTATTTTATTCACTTAAACACATTTCTAAAAGGTCTTATGTTTAAGTCTTTAATCCATCTGGAGGCAAAACCATTCAGGACCTAGGCATAGGCAAGGACTTCATGACTAAAACACCAAAAGCATTGGCAACAAAAGCCAAAATAGACAAGTGGGATCTAATTAAACTCCAGAGCTTCTGTACAGCAAAAGAAACAGTCATTAGAGTGAACTGGCAACCAACAGAATGAGAACAAATGTTTGCAATCTACCCATCTGACAAAGGGCTAATATCCAGCGTCTACAAAGAACTAAAACAGATTTACAGGAAAACAACAAACCCATTCAAAAGTGGGCAAAGGACATGAACAGACACTTTTCAAAAGAAGACATATATGAGGCCAACAAACATATGAAAAAATGCTCATCATCACTGGTCATTAGAGAAATGCAAATCAAAACCACATTCAGATACAATTTCATGCCAGTTAGAATGGCGATCATTAAAAAATCTGGAGACAACAGATGCTGGAGAGGATGTGGAGAAACAGCAACACTTTTACACTGTTGGTGGGAGGGTAAATTAGTTCAACCATTGTGGAAGACAGTGTGGTGATTCCTCAAGGACCTACATATAGAAATTCCATTTGATCCAGCAATCCCCTTACTGGGTATATACCCAAAGGATTATAAATAGTTTTATTATAAAGACACATGCACATGTATGTTCATTGCGGCACTGTTTACAATAGCAAAGACCTGGAACCAACCCAAATGCCCATCAATGATAGACTAGACAAGGAAAATGTGGCACATATACACCATGGACTACTATGCAGCCATAAAAATGATGAATTTGTGTCCTTTGTAGGAACATGGATGAATCTGGAAACCATCATTCTCAGCAAACTGATGCAAGAACAGAAAATCAAACACCGCATGTTCTCATTCATAAGTTTGTGTTGAACAATGAGAACACATGGACACAGGGAGGGAAGCATCACATACTGTGGTCTGTTGGTGGGGGGACTAGGGGAGGGACAGTGGGGGTAGGGAGGTTGGGGAGGGATAACATGGGGAGAAATGCCAGATATAGGTGACAGTGGGATGGAGGCAGCAAACCACATTGCCACATATGTACCTATGCAACAATCCTGCATGATCTGCACATGCACCCCAGAACCTAAAGTACAATATATATTTATATAAATTCCTAGAAGGGTCCACAGAATTTACCAGATTGCTAAAGCAGCTCATGGCAGAAAAATGGTTGAGAGGCTGTGGGTAGTTTTTATTTTCTCATGTCATTGCCTTGCAAAAACAGCCTTGATGCCTTCCCTCTGCCTTCAAAACAAAAGCTAAAACCCTTGGTATGACATTCACGGCCCATTTACAATCCATTTTCAGTACACCTCACTATCTTTCTTTTTTGTCAACACCCTAGACATAACCCGTGTTCTAGTCACACTGAATTACTTGAGTACACCAAAACTGTACTTCTATCTCTAGGTCTATTTCCAGCTTATCTTAAGGAAGTACTCTTTTTCTAAGGCCCAGCTCAAAATGTTATCCTGGTAAATCTCTCTTTTGCCTTCCCCCAAGCAAAACCACTGAATCTTTCCTTTGTATTTTCCAGAATACTGTGCTCACAGCTGTTGGATCATTTGTCAGATCCTACTGTAGTTAGCTTTTGTATCTATTTTTTGTTATACCGTGAGCTTCCGGTGGAGACTTCCTCAAGTTTGCACCCAAAACACATAGTAAGTCCTTGGAAATGCTTGAATAAATATTTCTAAAATATTCATTCTTCTGAGGGATGAATAAAATCCATAATTACTATAGTAGTTTGTCCTTTAAACCAAGAAATTCTTTTGATAAATATAACCTGAGTCTACTTCAAAAATCCACCAGCCCCAAGAAAAATAGAAGGTTGTTATCTTTCATTCCACTGCCTGGACCCAGCTGCCTTTAGTTGACTTCTATCCTTGAAGGTAGCAAAAGCACCCTTCGCAGGAACCCATTTGCTGAGTCTTTAAACTTCCTGACTATATCAGTGATGTCTTCTCATATTACCCTTCTTTGAATGATGCCAAATGTATTTTTGACCAGTCTCCTTTAAGCAGACGCTTCCCATTTCTTGCCCTAGGATTTTCGAATGGTCAGGTTATGGTATGATTTTTATATCCCAGAACATTCAGCTGCTTGATGTCAATCTTAAACAAATGCAGATGCAAGGTTTTAAAAATTCTTTTCCTAAGGAGCTTGAAGATTTAAAAAGGAGACCATTCCTTAATTTCACAGGTCAATGCACAGCTTGAGTAACTGGATCTACAGGTGTGCACATGCGCCGAGGATAGATGGAATGTTAGCAAACACTGACCTGAACTTAGAATCTCAAGGAACCACAGACTTTTAAGAACGGAAAGGAACTTTTTTTTTGAGACGGAGTTTCGCTTTTGCTACCCAGGCTAGAGGGCAATGGCGCGATCTCGGCTCACCGCAACCTCCGCCTCCTGGGTTCAAGCAATTCTCCTGCCTCAGCCTCCTGAGTAGCTGGGACTACGGGCAAGCGCCACCATGCCCAGCTAATTTTTGTATTTTTAGTAGAGATGGGGTTTCACCATGTTGACCAAGATGGTCTCGATCTCTTGACCTCGTGATCCACCCGCCTCGGCCTCCCAAAGTGCTGGGATTACAGGCGTGAGCCACCGCACCCGGCTGGAAATTTTTGACTAATAGCAGAGAGATGTGTCTTGCCCAGGGGCTCACCTGTTGTTGGGATTTCAAGTTTAGCCAGTCTAAAACAGAATCCCTGATTTTTCTTCCGTGATGTTTCATACTTAAGTCGGCAATCTCAGGCCATGGCATCTCTATCTGCTACCCGGTTTCCTGAGCCAAAAAAACAGTCATTCTTCTTCCTTTTTCTTTGATGGAGATGGGGTTCCACCATGTTGCCCAAGTTGGTCTCGAACTCCGGAGCTCAAGCAATCCACCCGCGTTGGCCTCGCAAAGTGCGGGGATTACAGATGTGAGCCACTGTGCCAGGAAAAATGGAGTCATTCTTGATTCTTTTTCTTTCGTTCTCCACGTCCCATTCCTCAGCAATTCCTGTCCCTTATACTCCCAAACTATATCCTGAATTAATCTGTCCTTCCCCACCCACTCTAGGCTAAGCCACTGTCATTTCTCACTTGGGCTCCTGTGCCAGTCTTCTCACTAGTCTGATTCTTCTCTTGTCTCCCCCGCAATTCTCTACACGGCAGCCACAGTGACCCTTTATTTTATTTTATTTTATTTTATTTTTGAGACAGAGTCTTGCTCTGTCACCCAGGCTGGAGTGCAGTGGTACAGTCTTGGCTCACTGCAACCCCCACCTCCTGGGTTCAAGGGATTCTCATGCCTCAGACTCCTGAGTTGCTGGGATTACAAATGTGCACCACCATGTCCAGCTAGTTTTTAATTTTTATTTTTAGTAGACAAATACAAACATGGTTTGACCATGTTGGTCAGGCTGGTCTCCAACTCCTGGCCTCGAGTGATCTGCTCGCCCCCACCTCCCAAAGTGCCGGGACTACAGGCGTGAGTCACTGTACCTGGCGCAGAGTGCCCTTTAAAAACAGAAATCAGATCTTGTCACTCAGTTGTGTAGAACTCTCTTCACATTACACTTAAGACAAACTACAAACTCTTTACGAAACTTCTGAGGATCTACCTGATCTTGCTATTGCGTGCCTTGCAACTCCAAAGCCTCTCATCTACTCTGCTCCAGCCTCACCAGCTTTTTCCCATGCCTTGAAATTCCAGAGCTCATTCCTACCTCAGGACTTCAGCCTTTCTACACCCTCAGCCACTCATCGGGCTTGCTCCTTCGAATCAATCTGGTCTGTCTTCAGAAGACACTTTTTCGGAAAGTCCTTTTCTCTCCCCTAGCTTATATCATTTCCTCTTATCTAGGTAATTAGCTGAGATGAGTTTGTTAGGTTACTTGTTTATAGTCTCTTCTTCCCCAGCAATGTATAAGCTCTGCGGGGGCTAGGACCCAGAACAATTCCTAACACAAGAAAGATATTCAACAAACATTGTTGAATGGGTCTAATTCAAGCTCTCAGACTCACCGTACTATGCTACGGCTTTGAACTCACGGCACTCCCATTAGTTATCTCTAAGACAATATGGGTATAGCGGATTGTAAAGTCACAGCTATCTGGGTATAAACCATTTCTCTACCTGTTCGCTGTTCTGTGACTGCACCAGTCACTTCCCCTATCTGTGTCTTAATTTACTTACTGTAAAAATGAGTATAGTAGTCCTACTCTGTAAAGTTGTGGGAGGAATTACCTAATTTATGTAAAAAGCACAGCAGAGTGGCCTCTAGTGTGTGTCTAATTGCTATTTCTCTTTTCCCTTGAGTCTTCCACAAATTATAACAGTTTATATTTAAGTGTCTTCTACTCTATGACAGGCTCAATTCTAAGTGTTTTACATGGATCGACTAATTTAATCTACATAAAAACTCTACAGGACAGAAGTGATAAACATCACTGTGTTACAGATGAGAAAACTTAACATAGTGGCTTATGCAACTCGCCTAAGGTCATATAAGAGGAAAGCAGCAGAATCCAGACCTGACCCCAGCAGTGTTGTCCAATTTCAGAGGCAGTAAAACAGTCATTGACTATCTTTACCGTGATCCCATGGTAAGATACACATTTTACATCATAAGTATGTGTAGGCATATGGCGGTATCTAAAGTATAAATATGTTTCACAAAATAATACCCTTACTATCTGTGTGCATTCTGATAGTTTCTCCTCATTTTAATTTTGAAAAATGTTTGACCAACTTACTGATTTAATGATCTATTGATGAGTCAAAACTGCACTTTGAAAAACTGCTTGTCTAAATTACAATTTATCCAACTGTTCTGACCCTTCAGCTACCTCAACCTCTACCAGAAAAACTGATGGCTCTCAGTTCAGATATTCATATTTCATGTATATTCCAGATGAAGTCCTTATTAATTATTAAGATACTGATCACCCACCCTGACTCAGACCTACTCCCCATTGCAAACTCTTTTGCATTTATGGAAAAATATCTCATCAGGTAAGATTCAAGTAATTCTTTCACTCTCCAAAAATTATTTGCCTTTATTAAAACTATTAAGGCAAGCTGCCCTATGTTAGAACTATTTATGTACATGTCTGTCTTTCCCATTAGGGGATCAGAAACTATGGAGGGCAGAAACCATGTTTTACAAACGCCTTTGTAGTCCCAAATAAAGGGTGAATTAAAGTGAAATGAAAAGAGGTTGGTATAAAAAACTCTGGCTTTAACCGTTGCATGGGGTGTGTGTTAAGAGAGATTCAGAAAAGACAACATTCTTATACTGAATCATACATATTCCCACGAAAACATATAAGGCGTACTCCCACTGATCTGGTATTGCAGGTGGTTCATAAAAATCCTTCTATCTGGAAAATCTGCATTGGCCATGCACCTAATTTCCCAATGGCATTCCTACCTCCTTGTGGCTCCTCCTTTTGCATTTCACTAAGCTAAGAGAATTTACATTTCTACATCTGGCAAGTTTCTCCCTGTAGACACATAGTCCTATGAACACTAAACTGAAAAGATTTCTGGATGAGCAGATGTACATTAACATTTTCACCTAGCCTGACCCTCAGTCCTGATCTCTTTAATGGGCTGGCATATCAACTACTGTTTATATCCATAGATATTGAAGTATATATCTGAGTGCATGCTATGTATCAAAGGTAAATAAATAAAACAAAGAAAAAGCCCCTGACTTGGAACTCTCAGTTGCAAGGCAGGAAATTCTTTCAGAGGGCAGGAAGTAGCTAGAAGCTTTTCCGCTAAGCAATACTTCAATTTCCCCACCCTTAGGGAAAGCTTATCCTGGTGTTGTTTCAATTCAGCAGATGCTGAGCAGTTGGAGAAAGGGAACAAACAACTAGGGGAAGTATTAGCACCTGTTTATGTTGACTTCTACTAAACAAGACTGGCTGCCAGCTGTTGCAGGGTAGGAGAGGAGTTAGAACAGGAAACGCCAACTCAGATGGAAGCTAGTTTTTGGCTTTCTGGCTCTCCAGGGGAAACAAAAGTGTCGAGGAAGTATGTGGTCATTCTCAAATGGCCAAGAGGCAAAGGCAAGATAATACACTCCATTCACTAACATGGTGGGGGGGGGGACTTAGAGTGCAAACGTGAAGTCATGCATCGTTATGAAATTAACGTTAGTTGCCTACTCTATATCCATTGTCTCCTTTTTCCTTACTAAAACCTTTATATTTTGGGCACAGTAACATCCATGCAAGAATGACATTTCTTGGCCTCCTTTACAGCTAGCTATAGTCACATGACTGAGTTCTGGCCAAATTAAGCGAAAGTGTTGAATATGATTTCCAGGAAGACTCTTTAGAAGGCCCTGACTCAGCTAGGTTTGCTCATTTCGTCCTTGCCCTCTTTTCCTCAGGCTGCCAGAAATTTCTGAGTAAAAATTTCTGATGGTCAAGTGGCTATTTTGGACAATGGGGTGACCTTGAGAAAGATCATGTTACGGTAGTCAGGAGCCTCCATACTAGCCTTGAACTGCCTAACTTTGGCATAGTTTTCCATGAGAAAGACACACTTCTTATTTAAGCTGCTGCTAGTTCTGTTGAATGTAGTCAAATCCCAACCTGAGATACCCTGATAATTATTGGCAATCACGTAAAGATACTTCCTATCTTCTTGTCCTCCAAAATGAGGTGGATTCTGTTACCTAACTCTATCCTTCTTACAACAGTACAGGAGAGCTGAGGCATGTGTTATGTGAGAAGAGGAAACTGGAGTTGGAACAAATCAAGACTTGCCCAATGCCACACAACTGGCTGCTTGGAGATCGGCAGGCTCTGGAAGCCAGGTTGCCTCACCCCTAGGATTTTTAAAAGCATAGTAGAAATAGGTGACAAATTTCCTTTAAAAAGATTTTGATTGGTTATTTTTAAAAAGCAAGCATTTAAGCACATCTCCTTTCTTCTATCAAATGATCTATAAAGGGGACATCGGAGTCACCGACTAAACATCTTTTTGTCTCCAGAATACTACCGCTATATTAAAATGAATTGGAATTCACTGTATTGTTACAGCATACATTAAAGGAGCTGACTTCTCAAATAGGTAAAGATACATTTTGAAGTAGCAATTAGTAAAATGAATGTGTTACTGTTTTAAAAGCATAACAGGGGTGATGATTAATGTAGAGCTGACAAAGTCTTTAAGAGGAAAAAACAAAGTAGGACTTTTTTTTTTTTTTTTTTTTTTTTGAGATGGAGTCTCGCTCTGTCACCAGGCTGGAATGCAGTGGCACGATCTTGGCTCACTGCAACCTCCGCCTCCCAGGTTCAAGCAATTCTCCTGCCTCAGCCTCCCGAGTCACTGCGACTACAGGTGTACACCACTATGCCCAGCTAATTTTTGTATTTTTAGTAGGGATGGGGTTTCACCATGTTTGCCAGGATGGTCTCGATCTCTTGACCTCCTGATCCACCCACCTTGGCTTCCCAAAGTGCTGGAATTATAGGTGTGAGCCACCACGCCTGGCCAGAGGTAGGATTTTTTTTTTTTTTTTTTTTTTTTTTTTTTTTTTTTTTTTAACAATGAAAGTAAAATTGAATCAGGTGAATTCAACATAGAAAAGTTTTAATGAGACAAATGTCAAACAAGCATATCAACTTCTTAAAAAACAAAGAAAATCTGCAAGTTTAATTACAAAAACACTTATACAGAAAACTTGGCATTTCAACAGTTCCAAACACATGTATACAAGTTTTTTCTAGAATTAGTCAGAAATAAAGTACCTTGTCTCCCCTTCCTCAGCTGCTCCTTGTATTTTAATAAAAAAAGAAAGCAATCTGTAACACTGAATAGGAAACAGCTTATTTTTTGAGAACATAAAAGTATAGTAATATCTACAAGTGAACTGGGAAACATGAGTTAGGTATTGTGCTAGCCTGTAACTTCATTTACTGCGTTCCTCGTTGAACACAGAGGAGGCAGGAGGTGGCACAGACCTGCTCTATAGACACTGACAGTTTTGTCGCATCTGCATCCTAGCATCATTCTAGAGTCAGGTGGGTAGTTATTGGGAAAGAGAGCATTTCAAAAACAAGCTGCTTATTTTGTGAAATTGACTTCATACTGTAGGCTCTCTTGAGAGCTCATGTGTTTCTGAATATGCAAATGTTTCTAGTCACTGTCAAGTGTCCCATCTAGAGTCAGGAGAATGATGATCCTGGACCACATTACAGCCTTTTCTGGTCACAAAAGCAGTGCTAACAATGCTGCACAAAACTGAACACAAATGAGAAACAGAAATATGAGGAGGAAGAAAGAGGACAGAAAGCATCTGGCAGAAAGAAGACAAACCTCCACAATGGGATCTGGATGTCCTGCCACGGAGAGTGAGTTCTGGCTTGGACTTAGCAGACAAGGAGTCTAAGAGAAGTGGCAGAAATAGCAGATGATGGCAGGGAAATAGGAAAATACAGAAGAGCAGGAGAGCTGGCTAGGTTTATAACGACAGATAATAATGGATTCTTATTCTAAAAAATTGCAAAGTGATGGTATGTGGGTTTCAGCACATGGAAATTTGATGTATGTTCACATAAGATACCTTAAAAACAGATTTTGTTGTTGTTTTCCTTTGGACTAATAAAGAAAACAGGCAAGGAGATGCTGAGAAGCCAGGATGGTATAGCAACATGACAAGGAGTTCTGCCTACACCCTGACTTACAGGCGTATTGTGAGAGGGGCCACACTTCTATCCACCTGCCTGCAGTGGTGTGGTGCCCAGACAGTGGGCTCTGCTTTGGTTCCAAAGATCTCAGCTGTAACCTTTAGCCTTGTGCTCTAGAGTGTCAAAAAAACAGATAAAGAAACAACCCAAAAACCCTGAGGTAAGAATCAGAACCTCTCCTTCCTTTTGCTGTTAAAGGAACCAGAAACTGCTAGGCGTGATGCTTGAGCCCAAGAGTTGGAGGCTGTAATGTGCTACGATAGCATATGTGAATAGCCACTGCACTCCAGCCTGGGCAACACAGACCTTATCTCTAAACAAAACAAAACAAACAAAAATGAACCAGAAAGTCCTCTTTACTTATGCTATTAAAGAAAAAAATCACTAAGGAGGGAGAAGGAAAGGAAGCCTGGCTTCTTCACATGGATTCAGCAGCTAATGGGTACAGAAGGAAGACAAAGGACATAAGAATTCTTCCAGGCCTTTTCTGTGAGCTCAAGAGACTATTTTGAATGATATTTCCACCTATGTTGATCCATGAATCATTATTCCAAAAGAAGACAGGGATTCCCTCAGTTTTCTTGAAATAAACTTTGGGCTTTGTACTCTTTCCCTTTCTCCTCTGTTTACAAGTGACCTTTTCCTCAGCAAAAATGCTCCACAAGACACTGCCAACAGATGGGAACAGAAGAGCCTTGCTGAGGCTGGGACTCCATGTCTGTGCAGGAGCAATGCTTAGAAAACAGCAGGCAGTACCAGCGAGGAAGGAAAGAGCATTCTCCTTTAGGGCAGCAATCACAAAGCCACACTGAGGGCTGGCACCCACTGAGCACCGTGTGGGGTAGGAAACACAGCCTTGCTCCACAGGGCACTGTCAACAAGAAGCTCCTTTCTTTGGAGTCACAGCAGGGCAACAATGGGAGAAGACTGGGCCTGTCCAATGCAAGAAACTCTCCTTCAGAACCTTGCTGAGCAACAAAGTCCAGAGGTCAGAAAATGGAGATGTATAAATTGGTGGGGGCCAAGAAAGCAAAAATGACCCCCAGAGGCATTTAAAAAAGTGACAGCTAGGTAACAAAACTGGAGCTCCATCGATAAAAGGGTCTAAGCAAAATTGCAACAATGAGAAGTCTTCCTTTCTGCAGCAGCGGACGTCAGCGTCAGGGTCACCTAGTAGGCTGAAGATATGCAGATCCACTCTAAGAGAGATGGAAATGATAGGGACCTGAAGACCGGGAAGAGTGGCTGGATACTTTCAAAGCTTCCCATGTGGACAATTCCACAGGAAGCTCATATACATGTTGCTGCCCCCTCATATGGCTTCCTGGGATGACGGCCTTTCACTCACTGATAATTCTTTCACAAGCAAAGGGATCTGCATGCTTTCTCTGCCCCAACTCAGTTCAAATTTCCATGGATGGCTTCTCATTCCTCACAAGTAAAAACACTTATGGAACATATTGGAGCTCTAAGAACCTGCAGAATCAGGGAAACAAAAGAAAACAAAAACAAAGAGAATAACACCAAGAAAGTTTAAGTATTAATCAGAAGGGGTTAGCGCTATGGATTTTAAAAATGCTTTGGTTTCATAAGGGTTAAGGGGAGTGCAGGGTGTATGTAAACTAAATAACTCATAAAGCTGCAAGCAGGCCACCTCATTGAAATGTTTCACATAACATTTCAATGAGAAACATGGCCCTGCTCCAGTTCGGCAACAATGGGAGGTAGGAAAATCAACAGCTAAACACAGATAAGCAACTATCAGGGACAAATCTGAGGAGGGAAAATGAGTGCCCTACTTTAGTCCGAAGAATGTATCGTCAATCAAAACCAATTTTCTTCAAGTGTTAACCTAAGGATATCTGAATGTATAGACATACTATGTACATATAATCAAGAACACTTCTCATATTAATAAAAATGCAGTCACATAAGAAAGATTTTCTTTTTCCCCAAACTCAAACAGCCAAATATTATCATTGAAGTCAGGCAACATATGCATTTTAGTAGTTTAGCTAAGGTAGTCACCTTTCAATTTAAAATCACCTCTATGACTTCCTCCTGGCTCTACCTGTCTCAAGGCACTACTCAGCCACAAGAAATGTGACGGACAGGTAGGGCAATTCTTCCATTGTATATTTATCAAAATCATTTTAAAATGGGCTAAAATTCTATAACATTATAATTACTAGATTGTAATTTTTTTCTATTAACTTCCTATGTATCTTAACGCTCAATTTCAGGACATTTCAGTGCTTTCCCCTTCTGCCATCCACCTCTTCCTTAGAGCAATGTTTTAGAAACCCAGTGAATGACAGTTTAGATCTCTGTGGTTCTAGTCTTGGATTCTGTACTCATGTATGCGGGTATTTTCAAGCAAGGTGTTTCTCCTCTCTGGGATTCAGTTTCTTCATATATAAAATGTTGGATTTCTAAAGGTCCCTTCCAACTCTAATACGCTCCTCTGAAACTTGTAGACTGTTAGCTTCCCTTCTCTCATTGGCTCCTGACAGTGGACGAAACCTTTGCCAAACTCTTGTCAGAGTAATTAATTGCACCATGAGTGCTGGGGTCATCAGGCCTCACTGTCTGTACATATCTGTATAATGAGGCCAAACTAGTATTAATCATATCTTTGTAATTGTTTCCTTTGACAGTTTTGGGGGGTGTGGGGAACCATCTATTGTTAGTTATGTTTGCATGGCTAGAGTGTAAGAATCTGTAGCAATATAACAGTTCACACTTTTAGTTATTTTTTTCAAGGGCAAAATATTTTTAAGTTGAAAAATCAAGGATAATAGTAATATTCTAATTTTCAAAGACTCTTCAGAAAGCAAATAATACAGTTTATATTCTTAAGATGAACAAAGCTTTAGGAGAATCTTACTGGCAAAATGCTCAAAATGGAAAACCACTTTTGGTTCAATACTTAATTAAGTATCCTATATCTATGTGAAGAGACACCATGTTATCAATTAATGTTTTCTTTCACGATCTTCCACACTGTTTCTCCCAGCTCTCACTTTTCAAGCCTACAAGAGTCCTAATTGAAAACACTGTGTAAAAATGGGAAGGATGATGAGCTCCTGAAAATCCCAGGCCTAGATTTACAAGCTGTTCCCTTCATAAGCAGCAGCAGTAATGCCACTTCTTTACTCTGCAGGGAGTCCAGCCATCTCTAAGTTCAGTCCGTTCCATCTGGCTACTCACTGGAAGGACGGTAATCCTTTCCCCATCAGAGCATAGCTGAGGCTAAAATATAATGAATTGCCTGGTACAGTGACCATCCAAGGGCACCACCAAGAAGTATAAAGACCTCTGTCTTTGTCTCTACTAGCAGATGTTGCCTCATTAGACAAAAAATCATGGGCTTTATTTATCTTTATGTATGTTGCTCAACCAAACGAAGCCAGAATATAAATTATGTATATGAGTGTGCTCATGTACTCACAGGATGAATAAAGATTCAAACCCACGACCAGTCACTCTTTGGAACAACGTATCCTCTGCTGACTATCGTTTGAGTATCCATATATAGCCACCTCGTTGTAGGGTCCAACCTTAAAATTTCCACACAGTTTATGTGTCTGCAGGTATGGAATAACTTAACCACTAGTGCAAAGGGATGCCGATTTGATGGTACGGCATACTAAAAGGATATCCTATCTCTAGAAATTTGAATGAACAAATACTAATTCCATTTAAGAAATGACCATTAGTACCAAAAAGTGTACATGGGTAGATCTCTTCTGGAAATGGAGAAAAAAAATTTTTTTTTCCCCAATAAAGGAATAAATACTTCTGCTCATTTGTTGAATATATATTTTTAAAAACCTATTTTCTCTATCCTTTCTTTTTTGCTTATTGATAATTTTTCTTTTTCTTTTTGAGACAGAGTCTTGCTCTGTCACCAAGGCTGGAATGCACTGGGTGACCTAGCTTACTGAAACCTGAACTCCTGGGCTTGAGTGATCCTCCTGCCTCAGCCTCCTGAGTAGCTAGGATTATAGGTGTGCACCATCAGATTCGGCTACTTTTTTCCATATATATATATTTTTTTAAGGTGGAGGGTCTTGCTATTTTGCCCAAGCTGGTCTTGAACTCCTGGGCTCAGGCAGTCCTGCTTCAACTTCCCAAAGTGCTAGGACTACAGGCATGAGCCACTGTGCCCCACCAAGAGTTTACTTAAAATTTTTTTTGAGACAGTGTCTTGCTCTGTCACTCAGGCTGGCATGCAGTGATGCAATAATGGCTCACTGCAGACTCACCTCAACCTCCTGGGCTCAAGTGATCCTCCCACTTCAGCCTCCCAAGTAGCTGGGACCACAAGGGCATGCCATCATGCCCAGCTAATTTTTTATAGATGGAGTTTTGTCATGTTGCCCAGACTGGTTTTGAACTCCTGGGCTCAAGCGATCTGCCTGCTCTGACCTCCCAAAGTGCTAGGCTTACAGGTATGAGCCATTGCGCTGGCTGAAGAGTTTATTTTTTAATCTATTAAAACCAGGTAATTACCTCTTTGTATTGTGAGTTCACATCAACATTTAACAGACAACAGTCACTGTGCTATTGGGTGGTGAATATAAAAGTTTCCTACTTATGTAGGCTCACAAATATACAATGTCTCACCGACTACTTCTAAATTATCATTAGTATTTTCCAGAGAAAAGGAAGATTAAAAATTAAGTTATATTTATTTTGTTCTGAGTGCTGCTGTAGGGATAATTTCCTCTAAGTTTTCCACTCACTTTTCAAAACCCTTTGGGAAACCAACGCCCAAGAATATAGCTAGTAAGTGACAAAGCTAGAACTGGGGTCAAAGCACAAAGACCATGCTCTTTCCATTAAACCATTCTGAAGCAAGCATGAGAAAAAACTGTCTTGATTCTGTTTTCTTTTATTTTTAGAGACGGGATCTCACTGGACTTGAACTGCTGGGCTCAAGCAATCCTCCCACCTCAGCCTCCCAAGTAGCTGGGACTAAGTGATTCTGTTTTCTAATATTATTTATTACATTTAACAACCATGCAACAGGAATCTTAACCAAGTCTCCAACTCATTCATCCAATGTAATCCCAGGGTTTTAGTGGTATTGATAAAGTCTGATGACATCTTATTTTTGATGATATGCTGGCATGTAAGTATCAGTGAGCACTCACCATTCCCTAACGATCAAGCCTGTTCACAACTTCTCGAACTGTAGCTATGAAGTTTTCATTGTCTTGGGGATTAGCTAAAATAATACTGTGCAGTCTGTTCATATATGAGTCAATGGTGTCCACTGTAGGTGTCTCTCCACTTCCTGAAGTGAGATGAGAAGAAAGTAAGAAAATCGTATTCAGTTTTATCATAAAACACGATTTAAAAGAAATATTGATTCTAATGTGGTCTGCTCCACAGATGTGCTTTTTATTTTAGAAGAGAGACTTTAGATCTCAAAGAAATGAAGTTAGTCCACATATTCTAAATAAACAGATGGGCTATATAATTGCTGTATAATATATATGAGTAGCTGCATGTAACAGAAGATTAGGGAGGGGTTATATAATTGCTGTATAGTATATATGGGCAGCTGCATGTAACAGAAGGTTAGAGACTCTCTCAGATTTCTGCTATGACTATCCTCAAAATGAAAGTATGTAAGAAATACCAGTGTTCGTTTTCTCTTCCCGTTAAAACAAAAACAAATACAAAGCAAACATACATACATAAAAGGAAGCACCCTCCTCAAGATTTATTACTTAGTTTCCAGTGTTCTGAATAGCAAATTAAGCTTAAAATAAAGGAAAATAGATACTAAAATACAAATGGACAAAAATTTGAATGACCAGAGACCCTGAAACATTGGATGATTTTAGCCAATACTGACGTTCTATTATATGACCCAATCCGGAGAAGAAAAAACGTATTTTAATTAATTTTCCTCTGGAGATTTCAACCTCTCCACACCAGTACAAACATAGACAGCACCCCACTGCTCGCAACACACACATCCCTGTCACTGACGGTCCTCAGGCAGGAGGACTTACCAGGCAAGGGCATGCTGGCAAAGCTGCTGGTCAGCACCTGCCGCAGGGTCTCCAGGTGCTGCTGTAAGACTGTGTTGCGGCTCCGCTCCTGGATCACATCCACCTCCAGCTTCTCCACTGCTGTGCGCATGCTCTCCACGTGCTTTTGCAGGGCTGCATTCCTCTCCTCAAATTCCATGTTGGATTTGCGAAGCTGGCGGAGCTCTGCCTCCCGAGCTGAGGACATATATCCCACAGAACACATGCAGCGCTAGAAGGAGTCTCTGAGGAGTCCCAATGACTCTTATAGGGAAGTTCTGCTTAGCTGCCTCTAATTTGGCTACCCCACCTCATCTCCCTATTCTCATTACGGCATTCCAGATAGCAATTTCAGCAATGAAACGCGTGGCTCCCCAGAGCTATTTTAATTCTTAAAGCTAGTCATATTCCATATATAAGACTGCAACAGTTTCAATTCCCAGTATTTTTTTTGTTAGTTTTTGCTTTATAAAATTGTACAATGAGAAGCCTGAGGGGTTTTGCAGGGGGATCCTGGGAGACTGGCCAACCACAGCTGTGGGTTCCAGTCTTCACTACAGTGGGATCAGAATTGCTCTCATTTTATATTTTGGACTCCCATGTAAGTTTTTGTTTGTACAAAGGGTTCCAGGCTAAGAGTCTGAAAATAAATGAATCTGTGATTGCATTTATTTCCTTTGATCCAGAGACCAAAGAAGGTTTGACAACAATGGCCTAGCTTTCCTTCACTGGTCTTTGAGTAGCTACCTTTACCACTGAATGAAAGAGAGGCAGTTCTTCTTCTTCTAGACTAGTCCTAAGGAGGGATATCACTACCATTGCTTTTAAGCAATGAATTCCTTCTGAGAACTAAACCCCCTGTCAAAGCTCTGAGAAACACGGAAAGAAACTTCAGTAATTACCTTTGCTATGGTTCAAGAATTCCTCTGTAAATATAGGGATGTCAAAAACAGACCGTTCCTTCACCTCTGTTTCTTTCTGTGAATCAAGAGAAACAAAACAGTTAATTCTTAATGAAGCTAAATTAAATAATAGTGCCTGAAGATGTAATGATCATGTCTTCTTTAAAGAAAGAGTAGGGTGAGCAGGAATCAGTCTAGGTGAGTCTGTGAGGGAAATGTATTCACCTTTTCACTGGAATCCAACTTTCATAGAGCTTAAGCAGGTGAAGTATTCACTTCTCTCAGGTGTACAACTACTGTGCAATCAGAAACCTTAAAAAAAAAACTTACACAAATTTCCCTAATGGAGAATTTGAAGCCATTTCTTAGCCTTATGCTTTGAATAGTCAACAGTATACAGTTGTGAAAGTGACTGCAGTGGGAACTGAGAAAGAGTAGTTTTTTTCCCAGTCACTTTTTTTAGTTATGCATGTAAAATGCTCCCTAAGATTACATAATATAAATTTGCAGAGTGGACAATAAGAATTTTAAGCAGAAATCTGCCTGCCATGAAAAATAAATATGATATTCGATTGGTACTTCTATTTACTAATGAGAGGCAGCCTATCTTTGGGGTCTTCTACATTTTCTTTAGACTCAGGAAAAATAAACAAACAAACATACAAGACCAAGAAATCAGAAAAAAGCCAAGCTCCAAATACTAGAAAGCAAAGGATTATGTGAGCTACAAAATAACAAAGGCTAAAATTAATTCACCAATAAGCCATTAAAAATTAAAAAGTCTCATGAGACCACTGCAAAATATATTCCACAATGATCCTTAAGAATAAAGTCGATAATTCAAGATGCTTTGGCTGTCAATTCTACAATGCATTTGAAGTTGAAAGCATTGTGAATATTAATTTTAAGTGTCTTGGCATAATGTTCAAAATTTTCCATAACGAAGGTAGTAAAATGGCAGAAAGTGAGAACTGAAGAAACTGTTAGTGAAATCTTAAGAAGAGCCCAAGACCTTTATAACATGAAAAACATGTAAATATAATACCTAGATTTCATTCCTATAAACAATTGTTTAAAGCTAGATAGAAGGTATCTTTCCTACTCTTGTCATCACTAGTTTTCTTTTCTTTTTTCTTTTTTGAGACAGAGTCTCTCTCTGTTGCTGATGCTGGAGTTCAGTGGTGCAATCTTGGCTCACTGCAACCTCTGCCTCCCAGGTTCAAGCAATGCTCCTGCCTCAGCCTCCTGAGTTGCTGGGATTACAGGTGCCCACCACCATGTCCAGCTAATTTTTTTGTATTTTTTAGTAGAGACGGATTTCACCATGTTGGCCAGGCCGGTCTTGAACTCTTGACCTGAGATGATCCACCTGCCTTAGCCTCCCAAAGTGCTGGGAATACAGGCTTGACCCACTGCACCCGACCTCCACTAGTTTTTTAAATCTTTGAACACAAAAATGACTTGGTGCCCAGTAGAAAAGCTAAGCAGTTTACAGCTGAAGAGGGAATTCTGACACCTGAACGAGCTCCTGTATTCATAATGGTAGCTGC